CTACGAATGCCAAGGTATCAAACCCAGCCAGTACAGTGAGCTTCCACAACTTTAGTGTTCTGCCTAACAAGTTTAATGTTTGTGTATGTGTGTCTCTGTCTTGACATGTGCGTTGTAGACTCAGAGGCGTCGTGTTTGTACCAGGGAACAGTGTACAACTCTAACGAACAGTGGGAGGTGGATGAGTGCACCAGCTGTACATGTGTGTTTGGAGACGTACACTGTCACAGTGAACGCTGCCCTCCCCTAACCTGTGCAACAGTCAGTAAAACAAACACCCACACAGTCTTTCTCAGTGTTTCATCATAGTCTGAAATGTTCTCATGATGTCTCAATGTGTTGAACCATCAGTCTGTAGAGAGACATTAAATATCTGACATTTCTCATCAGTATTAACACTCTGGCCTGGTCCTACGTGTGTGTGTGTGTGTGTGTGTTTGTGTATGTTTGCAGGATGAGATGCCAGCCATTGTCCCAGGTTTGTGTTGTCCTCATTGCCTTCCTCGTCCAGCCACCTGCATTGCCTTCGGCGACCCTCATTATCGAACCTTCGATGGCCGCATGCTGCACTTCCAGGGAGCGTGCACATACATCCTGGCACAGGACTGTGAGAGTGGAGACTTCAGGTGAGCAAGTGCTGCATGTAGGTAGTAGACATGTTTTGTTTGCTTTGTAAAGATTATTCAAAGGAAACGATCTTTGGTTGAACTGCTCACAACTCACCTGTGATGAGGGGTCAGAAGTAGACGTTGCTTTGTTTTAAAGGTCTTCTTCTTAATGAGTGATGGGGTTTTGCATGAAAACAATATGTTCTGCCAAAGTTTGAACATTTATGATTAATTTAAATTAGAAATATCTGAAAACAGTGATTTATTCTCACTGGTTTGAAGTTGGCGTTTATAAAAAGGTGATGTCACATAATTATATGGGCAAATACGGATTTAGCAATATTTAAATCAAAATTTGATGACAGCTGATCAACCTCACACAGTCCTGATGAAGCAACTGATCAGTTTCCGGGTGTTAACTCCTAAATAAATAATAAACAACTGAACTTTAACCTTGATTGTTGTATATTTACTTATTCATATGTCATTCTAAAGAGAAATACTTTTTTAAAACAAGGGGGCAACAAGCCAAAAAGGTTGGGAGCTACTGTCCTACACATCTTTTGCCTGTAAAGTATCTGACACACATATCCAGTGTATTTCGCTGCTGCTAATGCTAGTTTGCAAAAACATCCAGTTTTCAAGATGCGTTGCTTTTGTAACCTGCTGTAGAAAAGACATGACTTTATATATTTAGAACAGTAATAAACAACTTGTTACTCTTTTTGCCCTGCCCAATGACTCATCCTTGTGTGTACAGTGTTCATGCCACTAACGATGATCGTGGCCGTAAAGGAGTGTCCTGGACCAAAGAGGTGACCGTGTTTATAGGAGACATCACAGTGCAGCTACTCCAGGACTGGGTTGTGAAGGTTTGTGTGTTCAAATACTTACAAATACTTTTTGCACAGTCATGTTTGTGATATGCATCCACTCAGCCATTGTTGTACTCTTCAGGTGAATGATGAGGTTGTGACTTTGCCGTTCCTCAGAGAACCGTACATCTACGTAGAGCGACAAGCAAACACCATCTTACTCAACACTAACATCGGGCTGAAGGTACAGCCTCGTTATCTCTCATCATCTTTGTGCTTAACGTATGATTGGAAACAGTAAGGTACTTCAGATTCTGTACCACACTTATACACCCCCTGGTTCACCTTTAGGTACTGTGGAGTGGTCGCTCACATCTGGAAGTGAGTGTGCCAGGCTCCTATAAGGGCCACACCTGTGGGCTCTGTGGAAACTTCAACAACTACTACCAGGATGACCTCCGAATGCCCAGCGGACAACTCAGCCTGTCAGAGGCTGACTTTGGCAACAGCTGGAAGGTAAAATAAAAATACATAGAACAACACAGAATACACAGAGTAAAAGTGCAATCGTCATACAAAAATAATTTAACTGCATGTCATTTTAGGTCACGAATGGTAGCCATTCCCTCTCATCCTGTCGCCCCGGTAAGAATGTTGATCCCTGTAAAGACGCAGGCTACCAGGCCAAGAAGGGGGCTAACGCTCGCTGTAAGGTCCTGAAGTCTGCTGTCTTTAAGCCCTGCCATCGTGTGGTGCCTCCTGAACCGTGGTACGGAGCCTGTGTGTACGACCTCTGTGCCTGCGGGGCCAACACTGATGAGTGTCTGTGTGACACACTGGAGGCCTATGCCAGTCAGTGCAGAGAGGCTGGAGTCATCTTGCAATGGAGGAGCCCATCGCTGTGTGGTGAGTAAAGCACACACTTAAAGGTCCTGCTAATATATTTTCTTGAGCAACTTCTTTGCTGGATGAGCATGTGGCATGCTGGAAATAATCAGCCAAAGTTAGAGCTGTTTTTGTCATTTCACATGAGGGATCTCTGTATTGTTGTTTGTCGCTGTGCTTTCCTCACTGATTTGAAGCTCAGTTATACAGACATACTTCTGTGTACCAATCAGATTTTTGCAACATTTGAATCAAAATATTTGGACATTTTGGGGGTTGTTTGCATATGTTGCTAAACCACTGTTAATCAAATCTGATCAAACCTCACCCACACTGTCCTGATGAAACATTACATTACAGTCATTTAGCAGACGCTTTTATCCAAAGCGACTTACAATAAGTGTATTCAACATCGGTATTCAAGAGAACTACTAGTCACCAGAAGTCATAAGTGCATCTCCTTTTTTAAACAAGCATCGAAGAGCATGAACCAGAGCAAACGTACAGTGCAGAAACAAACGAATACAATAAGTGCAACAAACTAATACGAATACAATAAGTGCAACAAACTAGTATGAATACAACGTGGAAGGCTCAGGGTAGTACTTGCTGTACTTGCTGTGTCACTCGTTCACTCATTCACTACTTTCTATATGATGGTTTTTGTTCCTGGAACTGCACAAATTGCAAAAGTAATGGGTGGAAAATGCTTAATATCCCAAGTAGGACACCTTCCAGTTTGCTCAGACTGCATAATTAGCTATTGGTATATGTAGCTATCTGGTCAGTGGGAAGTAAACACCCATTTTAAGGTGACACAGCTTACCCTATTACTCTGTGTTCATGCTGTTTATTTAATATTGTTAACGTTTGTCAGGCTCTATGATCAACTCTCAGTTTGACGTGTGTTTAGAGTTTTGATGTGGGAGTTGGTGACACATGATAGAAGGGCAGACTGATGACTTTTAATGGAAAAATCATCAACATTTGAAACCAAGTTTTCAGGGTTTTTACGTAAGATGATAGGTGATTAGAGATGATTCTACTGAACCACATTGCAAATAGTCCATATTATACCTGTGACAACTTAAAATAATAGCAAAACCAGTGATAGTCACATAGTCATATAACTGATTTTTTATTTTTAGATCTCAAAAAGGTCTCTACTCAATCAAAAACTCACCCAAGTCCACCTGCTCCTGTTGTAAACTGCACAGTGATGCTTCACAGTGCTAGAAGCAAGCCATGCACAACAAATTAGCCTCAAATGAAAATGAAAAGACAGTTTTGGAAAAAGTGATCTTATTGTTGACACCTGCTCATTCCCACTGGTCACCCTTGAAGCCATAATGTTCTCAGTGTTCTCAGTCTCTCATTGTTTTCTCTCTATTGCTGTCTTCCACAGCTGTTGGCTGTCCAGTGGAGAGGGGCTTTGTGTTTGACGAATGCGGACCCCCGTGTCCCGTCACCTGCTTTAACGTGGACGTACCACTGGGAGTGATAGAGAGCCACTGCTTCAAGCCCTGTGTCCCAGGCTGCCAGTGTCCTGCTGGTCTGGTTCTACACAACAACTACTGCATACAGCCAGAAAAGTGCCCCAAGATCATTCATGGCAAACCCCTATAATTCTCTGGACTGCTCACTTTCAAGAGGACACTTAACTTGTATGCACACATATGCACTGCCACCATAATCTTTAATCCACTCAAGGACTGCTACAGCCTTCTGTTACTGTATACAGTTTGAAATAGAAAAACCTGGAGATTTAACATATTGACAGAAGTGAAATACTGCATTTTAATGTTTTTATCAGCTTTGTTTTACTTTTATATGTAGCACTGAATATTTATACTACACAAGGGTTTTGTCGTTTTTTGTCACATGTTCATTGGTATTGTCCCTACCTGTTTTGTTTTACACATTTATGATTATATTGTCCACAGCCTTTAGATTATTTTAACAGTATTATTTGCTCCCAAAAGAGCATTTGTTTACTGTACAGGTTTTTTTTCAGCACTGTGCAATGTGTGACTGTATATACAAGAAGCCACATAATCTCAGGTACTCTTTTTTTGTTGTTGTTGCTCACCATCGTACAAATAAACAAAGGCTTCACTAATATATGTGGTATTTCATTTTATGTCATCAATCATTTATTATGATCATTTTTTAGGTGTCCTAAAATGAAACATGCTAATGTTTAATTAAAACATTTGTAATTAATTAATTCCAACTGCTTTTATTGAGTGCACAGCAGATCAGCTGAATATGCAAAAATATAAAATAACTTAACAATTCAACATATATTTAGAATAAAGTTTCAAATGATAAATGGAGAAGGGATGAATATTTACTTACTGTAAATCCTAACTAAAAGAACAGTCTCAGAAATGTTTTATATTTTCTTCATAATTATTACCAATTATATGGTTCTTTAGAGGAAACTTCCAGACCTGTAAACACCAGTGGATGTTTTATAAGATGCATGATTGCATATAATGTAATGTATAATGTATGAGACAGACATCATAATATACAATTTACACATTGAGAGCCACCAACTTTCACTAGTGGTTCAATGTTACGGAGCACTTTTCATACAAGTGTAATGTGTCACATGGTCTTGTATCACATTTCTCGCTCTGACGGACACACTGTCACTTTTGTTGCTTGGTAACCTGATCCAGCTGTTTTGCAGAGGACTGCTGTAACCACAGTAACAGCCTGTATAATTTATCAGTCCACGGTGGTGAAAACATGGAGCAGGTAAGATGTAGTATATGAGTTTTCGTGTGTGTGTATAAACTACATGTAATGTCTTTACATCTTCCTTCAGGATTGCATCCCCGGTCTGTACCGATCTCTGGGTAAGTCTGTCGGAGCAGAGTTTTCCTCTGAGGATGTGAGTCTCCTCTACCACAAAGTGTTTCACGTTTCCTCCAACACCGATGAAGCACATGTGGCCATGAAGAAGGTAAAAACGGACATATTTAAAACAACAAAGCCGCTATTGTTTGATCCGATCTTCATTTGTCGTTATGGGATACTCCTGTGTACGTGTGTCCGTTACAGATCACAGGAGGTGACAGTAGTTGGTCATGTGTTGGTGAAAATGTCGTGGATGTTCTCCTCGAAATGGAAAGGGAGAAGGAAAAGAAGGAAAAGGTAGTCAATGCAATGTTTTTTGTTCTTTTCTCTGAATTTCATATAACCCAGTGACCAAAGTATTATTTTGTCATCACAATATTGTTATCTGCAGCTCTACTGGGACCTCCAGCTGCTAAATGTTGGACATCTCAACACTCTCTATGTGATGGACAAACAAGTTAGAGTCAATCCTCATGTGCTGAATTGCACAGACCCAAATACTTTCAAACAAGTGGTGGGGGGGAAAGAGCTGTATGGGAGTGTGAGAGGTGTGAAGAGGCTCAAGAAGGCAGCCAGGCAGTGCTGGGCCAGGTGAGCATCTTAACTCTCAGAAGTCAAAATGTTACTCAAATACAATTCTAAGGTAAAAGCGCTTAACTGAGTTTTCCTTTTTATAATACATTACTTGATACTTTAACTATATCAGAGTACAGAGGGAAATATTATTGTGTTTTACTCCATGACGTAATGCTTATATAGGATCGACTTTCTTGTTGCCTTGCAGATTGAGGCTCTACCTGCTAAACATACAGTAAAATAGGCTCAAAATAGAATTTTTTGTTTTAAAGCAAGCCCTGTAACTTCAGCCGCTGTGACAATTATGGAATAATGTTAATGTTATGTAGGAAACAAGTGAACTGAGTCAGTGATATCTGTCATGCATAGATCTACATAAAGTCTGCTAACATAAGCCATCATACAATACTGGTCATACCAGACTAAGTGAGGCTTGAAGCACCAAAACCCCCGAGTGTATTTAAGCAACAATACATTTTATTGCAAATTAATTTACCTTTTTGTTTGAGGGAGAATGTGTTATTCCTTCTTACAAAAGCCGCATAGTATCACTTTAACTACATTGCAGTATTAATCCTCTAAAGATTAGAATATTTACCTCTAGAAACAATTAAAACCTTTATTTAATGTCACAAGGCACCCATTAAGCATTGAATTGCATGTTTACTATAATTATGATATTGATATGTGCTTTTATCTATCGTCTTAGATTGGCATCAGAGAGTGTGCAAAGTATACTGCCCTCTCCCTGGCAGGGCCAAAGCCTCGGGGTCAGAGGTGAGGCCTGGGGCTGTGTCTCCCTATCAGACGTCCTGCTCTTGCTGGAAGTGAAGTATGATGTGGTGACCCACTTGCTTTATACTGAAATGCTTCAGGAGCACTACAGTAAGGAAAGGTCTCACTGAACATGTCGTAGCAATAAAACACAAAGAACAATCTCTTAACGCAAAGTATCACAGAGCCTGATCCAGGAGCTTCATATTCCCCATTTTTTCCCCTTCCTCTTCTTCGTTGGTGAAACCACAGCTCTGAGTATCTGGGAGACTCTGCTGCCATGGCAACAACTTAAGGAACAGGAGGGGCTGGGGGATCTTGCAGATGAGGCTTTGGTGTCAGGTGACATGCTTCGTTTGGCTGAGCTGCCAGGAGCCTTAAGGGTATACAGGTAACACACACAATAACAAGGTTATTATTACACATTTAAGATGAATAGAAAACCAAATATACTGAAATGTCTTAAACTGAAAAGAAAACAATGACCAAACTACAATACAGCAATATATCCTGGTTCCAAAACTAAAGTAAAAATACAGTTTGCTGTTTAATTGCTGTGTAATTTATGTTCTGATTAAAACAAGGACACTCAGTTTCAGTTATGAATAAAAACACAGATAATGGGCGTCAAACAAAAAGCACTATAACAGAAGTTACTCTCCTGCAGGGCCTTCCTGAGAAGCCGTCCTGAGTGCAGGGAGCAGTGTTGGTCTGCTGTTTCGCTCCTCTATGAGTTATGCACATTTCGCCGACAAGAAAGGGACACACTGACAGTCCTGGGTGAGAGGTAAATACCTGCTAGGTCTGCTCTTACCTTGCATGGTAGCTGGATTCTCATGATGTCAGCAGATATCACGGGTCAGGTTAAGTCTACACACCAATAAAATCAAAATAATCCCACATACATTCATATTGACTTTAGTTTTCTTTATTTAATTACTGTCTGATTTTGCTCACCTTGTACTCAACACAAGTTAACACTTATGCAAGATTTGACACATAATGGACTTCTATATGGCTCTTACCGGGTACAGTACGTAATGAGTTGATTCCTTAATCGTTTACCTTCCAGGCTGGACAGGAAGAGCCTGAGGCTGTTGTGCTTATACATCAGATTGGCAACTCTCAGAGCTCAGAGAGAGAAAATGTCTTACAGCGCTCTACTGGCAGCTCGGCAGTCCTGGGAGACATGGTGAGCCAAAACTAAAAGTGGAAATAAAGATTCACCACTGAAAATGAAAATGTACTGACTATCATCAGTTCTTGCTTTTTGCCCTATGCACACTCCATTTCAGCTATATTCTGTCTGTCCCACGTGTATCTGTTCAGGCCACATGTTAAGAGTCCCTGCAGAGCAGAGCAGGCAGCACTGTGGCTACATGGTGAAGAGGAGGAGCAACAGAAAGACTTTATCTCAGTATCACCACAGCAGGTATATGGTAAATCTGCATACACTGATTCTGACAGAAAGGCAGCACATCATAACCTGATTTAAAAACAAATTGTGAGTAAGATGTTTCTCGAGTAATGGCTTAAAGGAAAACACTACAGTAGTTTTATCAGCAACAGATCAAAAACGTTGGCCCTGTTACAGCAGGCAGTGCTGCAGTTGCTGGTGCTGACTCAGGAGCAGGAGCGGAAGCACCTGGTCAAGTTGGCAAACGGGGTCTCCATCGAGGATTTGCAAGAGCCAGGTTGCACAGTGCCTCCAAATGAGGGTATATGGATATTGTCTTTATTTTTCTGCTGCATGCTTGTCAGAATTGCTTTTCTTTTGTGTCCCCCTCATTTGTATATCCCATCTTTATTGTTTTATGTTTCCTATGCAGATAGCCATCAGCAATCTGCTTTAAGAAATGGCTGTATAAAAAGACTGAGAGAAATCCATGCTGGCCTGCAGACATGCAATGGCACTCAGACCCCCTTAAAGCGAACAGACCTTCAGCCACAACTGCAGCCGCACATAAGCAGTCAACCGGCAATGTGGTACCAACACCATCTGGAGGATTGTTCCCTGCTCCTTTTGACCCATCTGATGGAGCTCCAGGAAGTCCAAGCGTCTGCATTACTGCCAGCACTGATGGACAAGGTGAGTCAAGACAACCACAACATCCAATCTTAAGATTCAACAATTACAGCGACTCTTTTATTAAAGCACAGACTGTTCAAATAATGATGTGTGTCTGTCAGAGTGCACAGTGTGTCCGAGCTCTGCGAGATGCATATGAATCAGAACTTCAAGCACAACGCTACACCAACCTGCTCCAGCTGATATCAGATGCCCCACTTACTTCAGGCTCTATAATCCCTCCTTATCCAAACTTAACCGGAAATAGCATCAATGAGCAAATCACAGCTCCGTCCTGCTGCAGTGGTCTGGTCGATGCTCAGAACAGCAGTGGCGGGCCAGCTGAAGCGCCGACGGTGGATTCAATCAGAAGGGCCAGCAGAGAACTAAATGTGATGCAAGCTGCAGAATGGACGGACAAAGAGGACGTCTTTATAGGTACTGCAAACACAGGCAAAACCTGGACCAAACACTTATGGCTGCAATTACAACATATTGCTTTTCCCCCCAGGTTGTCGAGCGGTCATGGAGGACCTGCCCTACTTGGAGATCTTGTGTGTCTCAGATGCAACAAGTCAGAGTCTCACCGCAGACCGAGGAGGCCAGGAAGAAGAAGTGGGCAGTGCAACTAAGAGCTCCCAGAGTTATGAGAAACAGGGCTCACTGATCACCCTTGCTTGGAGCAAACCAACAGAGGATGACACTGAGTATGAGGAAGGCACTGCGGTCAGAGGCACAGGACAGAGCCAGGATGTACAGCCAAATGACACAAGCAGTACAGCTGAACACACACCGTGTGAGGAGATTACTGGAGAAGAGATGAAACCCACTCTGCTCCACTCTGATTCCACAGGTCACCCTAACGCACAGTCTGCAGACCAGCAGTGCAGCACAGTAGGACAGGTACTCTATATGATTTGTAAAGCAGACCATGAAACGTTGTATTACTATGTCATGCATTTGATTTTTTTTTTACCCTTTTTATATCCTCATTATTTGGCCTTGGTGGAGAGAGCACTAGCTGATCTACCAGAGAAGGGAGAATCTGAATGTGACCTGCATGCACATGCTTTGGTAGCAGAGACCCCGCAGGCTGCACAACCACATCTCTTGGTTGACCCTCCTGAGATCAAGCGGCATGGTGGTGACATCTGCTCTGAACTGATGAAAGAGACAGCTAATGTCGACAGAGACGTGCTTGAGGTAGAAATGTGTCCCACTGCAACAGAGTCGGAGCTGTGGGACCTGAGAGGCCCCGAACCCGCTCATGTTGAGGACCAGACATATAATACAGAAGCCGCGGTAAGTTTGCTAATACATGGTTGTGCAACCAAGATCTGTGCTGAACATTTCCACATTATTCACTCATCTGCTGTTTCCTCTTGTAAAGTTTGACAGTAGCCCTGCAGAAGGGGAGGCAATGAGGGAATCCACACTGATGGAGAGAGAGCGAGCAAGAGAACCAGTCTCAGAAATGGAGAGAGAAATAACAATGCGCAACCTGGTGGACGTGCAAAGAAAGGTCGAACGGAGGCAGCAGAGAGAGAGAGAGAGACAACTGCTGAGGGTGAGAGAACGGTGTAGAAGCAGAGGAGGAACTTCACACACTAGTATTCGGGTCATTGATTGTGGGAGGCAGAGGGGACATGTCACTCTGACACGGTTTGTCCTTCAGGTTCAGGAGCGTCTGTCAATCATACAGAACAGAAAGGCAGAGGAAGACTTGCTTGGCCTGAAACACACAGACAGGCTAAGGCACCTCACAAAAGATCTACCACAGGTATAATACTGTATATTACGGGAATCAGTCTACATAATTGTATCGGACATTGTATCACGATTTCTATTGTGTTTTAGGAGGATAAGAACCAGCAGAAGACAGTTGTCAGAGAGCGACTGGAGCAGCTGAGAAGAGAGAGATCCCACGTCATGCAGTCCAAGCGAGACAGGTGAGGGACACCCCTTTAAACAAAACACCAAAGTAAGGTTTACCTCCACCCCTTATGTTTCCTTTTTATCCTGTAGGAATACTGCAGGATTTAAGGAGCTCCTGGGTCCAGTAGCTCTCAACAGCAGTGAAACAGATGAGGGAGCAGACTGAGAAACTACAGCTGCTTAAAATCATGTGTAGTTTTAACAAAAGGGATTTTTAATTAATAAAAAGACTTTTCAATGAAAGTGGGATTTTCTAATGATTTAAAATCTGACACATTGCTGATCAGATAATATTGTCATGAGTTCAAGTATAATGCTGCAGATTGTTTTAAAATCGTATCAGCCCCCTGGTTTATGATCATACTGTATATATGTATGTATACATATACACATATATACACATATATATATACATACACATATACACATATATATATACACATATATACACACAAACACACAAACACACATCCACACACACACACACACACAAACACACATCCACACACACACATATATATATATATACACACACACACACACACACACACACACATACACATATATATATACACACACACACACATATATATATATATATGCGCTCACATAATAGGTGTTGTGAATGCAGGGCATGCATCTGCAATAAGACATCAAAAAGTTGAATTGACTGTTTATTATAGTTATTATCATCTTGACAAACGTAAGCATCAACATTAACGTCATTTATCAATGACCCCCCTTTAGTTGTGTACACAATATCCCCGTGGCCTTAATTACATACACAATAAGTCGCAGAGGTGCATGTTAACAGTTTACAGAGGTTCCATCAACTCTCCTTCATGTGAACATAACGTATATATTGGCACTGTTGGCCATTACTCACTTGTAAAAGAAATAATGTGACTAGATGAAGGACACCGCTGTAGACTTCGAATGCACCTATGGACTGGGGCTATATTTATTTACAGATCTATCATGATAGGAATATTGTAACATGTCAAAGAATGTAAGTTTGGCTAACAACTCTACGATGGGCAGATATGTATAATACAGAGGTTTGCTGCGGGCCCAGTGGTTTTCCTGCAAGAGAAGAAGATCTCCTGGTTCTGGTGAGTAGAGGGAGAATGTCTACATGGGGAAAGATTCTCAGCAAATAAACATTCTGTTTTGTCCCTCTTAAATTGCCCCCATTTAGGGTCCACTAACACTGCAGTCCAACACAAAGCAGGAATATCACTCTAATAAGCCAGAACATTCCACAGCCGCTGCATTACACACACACAGTACATACAAAGTACACAAGTGTGTCCTCCATTCAAATGAAGAGTACGCAACTTAGGTTCAACTTCTGTGGTCTGGAACACACCAACATTCAAACCAACAAAGACAAACGAGTTAAAATTCGTTTGTCTTTTACTCGGGGCTTTAATATCTTAGCAATGCGATGGCTGGGGACTTAACAGAAACGGTTGCCTTTTCAAAAATCTGACTGTTCACCTCGGAGGATGACGAGGAATAAAACGTGCGGCTCTCAGCAGGCTGTGCGGAGGACACACTTTTAGGGCTGTAATTAGGTCAGCTCTCTTGATAGCAGTGACACGTTGAAATTTAAACAGGTGTGGTGTCAGATGTCTCTGTGGTGTCCTATCCGGACCCTGGACCTACGTGTGCGAGATCGTCAGCAAGAAAGCGGCATGCGCTTGTGTGAGATAGACTAAACTACACCATATACAAGAAAGTCAACAATATTTGCATTTTATACACTAGACTGGTGTTTCCCACAGTGAAAGGTAAAAGCCGAGGATGAAAACAGGGCGGTCCAAGTCAAGTTCATTCAGTGAACCTTCTTGCCGGAGGCTTTGATGAGCACTACTGTCCATAAACACAAAAAGGTCATCACACGTCCAGCATATCTCTGACTTATGGGCACCATGGGACTGAGGAGGGTTGATATAAGTGTGTATGTATTTGTGTACATCTCTTTTTCACGTGAATCATGAAAGGAGAGAAATCAACATGTGTGTATGTATGTATGTATGTATGTATGTGTGTCAAGTCTTGAATGGTGTTAGCAATGGAACTCAAGAGATGTTCATGTATTTATGTGTGTGTGCACGCGCAATGTGCATGTTTCTATGTATGAGTCTTTCTATTGGTGTGCACACTGCACCCCTGGGCCATGATGGCCCCCTTCCTCATCAGAACTATCATTGTAGGCCTCTCTCCTGGCTCCACTTCCTGACCCTTGACTCTTGTCAAATTCTGTCAGGTCAACTTCCTCTGCATCTGCTGCAATAACAGGATTCTCAGCACGAGCAGGCAGTAAGCACTCGAGTTCCTGCAAGAACAGAATTAAGTTTAAAAAAATGACAATCATTCAAGCTTAAGGGAGTTAAAATTGTGCACTGCGGGATGTTTAACAAGTGCGACTCACATTCAGTTTTTCGGGGCTAATCCAGTTGTTTTCGGGGAACTGGACGTCAAACTTGATGTAAAGGTCTCCCTTCTCAAATGGGTTTCTGTACTGAGGCATTCCCTCTCCCTTCACCATTCGAATAGAACCTGCCAAACATCAACACAATGGTGTCCACAAAGGAATCCATAACCTTGTAATCTACAAGCTATGTGCTGTTTATTGTGATGAAAGCACAACAGAACTGTCAGGCAAAACTATGCTTTGAATATGTGGATCACTTTGCTTTTGGCATATTATGGTGCGTTACAATAACAACTTAAAATGCTATTTGGGATTTGTTTTAAACCTACAAAGTTAATAAGAAAACTAGTATTATATTATACTTTACCAGGTTTTAACTGTCATGAAAATGTCTGTGTATACGTAAGAATTATTTTTAAATTGTGCGTAAACCTGAGTCAATGGTGTATTCCAGACACCCTTAGTGTTTATCAGGACACTAGTAAAACTAGCTGCAAAAAAATGAATAGACACAGTGAATATAAGAGCTATCATCTTTCGCACATTAAAATGTGCACGAGAACAAAACAAAAAAAGGAGGGATGTCCCGACAGAGATGGTTGGTGGTTTGAAGACTAGCTTACCTGGCTCGATGACCTTGCCAGGTGGATATTTGACGAGCAACTGACGTCCATCAAGGTGTGCGACAGTCATCTGGAAGCCACACAGAGCCTCAACCAGACCGATGCGTTGGACCATGTGGAGGTCACTGCCATCACGGCGGAATTCCTGATTGAGATCGACATCCAAATGTGTTAAGTGTCATAACATGTACAGCATATAAATGTAGACATGTCATCTTCCTAGCCATGATAATAAGATGAACACAGGTTTTCTTTACCTCATGTTCTTTCTCTTGCAGCACCAGCACTATGTCTCCTGGTTCGACTCCTGGTGCTTGGTCAGCTTCCCCAGAGAATGTGATCTTCTGTCCGTGTCTCATGCCTTTGTCCACGTGCACCTCGAGAAGCTTAGTCTCCTTACACACCTTATGACCTTCGCACTTTCTGCAGCGGTCTTTCTCATTTATCACCTCCCCTGCACACGTGCACAGATTGGACAGTTTCAGAGTGCCGTTGCACAACATCAATGTCTTTTAAAAGTTTAGTCAGTGTGTGGGTTTTTTACAGATATAATACCTTCTCCATTGCAGTCTGTGCAGACGGACTGCATCTGTTGGACCATCCCAGGGGCCAGCTGTCTAATCATGATTCTCATACCTCGTCCTCTGCATGCCACGCACTTCTGCACTGCTCCTGCTTTACCCCCCTGACTAAAAGGCAAACAGTAAAGCATCCTCATTGTTAACAGGAATGTATATCGAACAAATTGACTGTTATTCTGTCAGGGCTTTGAAAACATAGATTTCTTTTTAATTAAACGATTGAAATGAAACATTCAAAGCAAACTCACCCATTACAGGCAGCACACAACACATTCTTACTGAGCTGCAGTTTGGTGGTTTTGCCATTATAGAGGTCTTCAAGAGAAACTCTGCATGAAACAAAAGAAATGTAAGATGTGTGTAACAACACAATATATGTGAAGCACTAAACAGTATCTATGTAACACACTTACTTCAGAGGATGTACCATATCATCTCCTCTCCTCCGGCCTCCATTGCGTCCTCCTCTGCCCTGTCCCCCCATGAACCCAAATAGTCCTCCGCCAAAAATGTGAGAGAAGATATCGTCCATGCCAGGCCCACCGCCTCCTCCCTCCCGTAGGCCCTGTTCTCCATAGCGGTCATAAAGCTCCTTCTTCTCTGGGTTCGTCAGTACCTCATATGCAAAACTGATCTCTTTAAACTGGAAAATGAGAGAGAGAAAAAAAAGGTACAATCAGACAGCTTGATACAATGTCAAACAACTCAGAACATCACAGCAAAAAGGGCCGACTAGGTGTGTTTCTGATGAGCCTCTCTTACAAAGTAAAAAGAAACAAAAAAGACAGTTTAGTCTTTCCTGTCACATTGCAGAATCTCAGAAATTAAGTCGTAGAGCAGCACGAATCAAACACTGATGTGCATTTCGCTTGGGAAAAAAGGCTGTTTCATATTCTGTACTCTGATCTGCATCTTACCTCTACATCCTCAAAGAGTTGGGCTGTGTGATCATGATAAACTAAGTCGACATCATTTCTTGGTCCCAATTGTTGAATAATTGAGCTATTGCTGTTGCTAACTACGGTGTTGCTGCTGTTACCATGCTATGGTGCATCATACCTTGTCTCCAGCGTCAGGGTTCTTGTCAGGATGGTACTCTTTGGCCAGTTTGCGGTAGGACTGTAATGAATCAAAATCAAAATGATCAGAAAAAGGCTGTGTCTGCGCCCTGAAGACAGGCACCAACTGTGACAAAGAGCTCTGCTAGCAGATCACGACATGTATTAACTGTCCTTACTAGCCAAAGGCTTGACTTGTGGGCCTGCTGTCAAAAACATAAGGACACTGGCAAGAGCATCGCTGGCTTTAACATCTGAGACCATCGAGCGTGAAGACATTACATTTATGATCTTATGGCAAATCTAAAAGCACTTAATTTTGACAGAAAAACGTTTTGAACGTGAATCACACCGTCAGTTGTTGCCATCACCCAGCATGTTTTAGTAGGAATACCAGCTGGGATGACAGGCGATTGCTTAACATTACGTTACATTAACTATGGTTAATTTGGTTACGAAACAGGCGGTCACAAACACGTGATACAGTGTCTAAATATGAAGGGAGGTGGATGTGTTGATCGTTTCAATAATTCCTAACTGCCTGATGGTTGAATTGACGTCGGGGTACCGTTAACGTTACACAGAGACGTAAGTTACACGTACATTAAGTATAAAGTACCGTTAGCTAACGTTACACGACACAAATGGAACGTTATCTATAAACCTCAACTCACGACACATTTCAGTTTAGAGATACAAGATGTTACACCAACGCAGCTAACAATACACATGGGTTTCTTTTCTTGGTGCTCCTTTCTAGATGAGCTGTTTAATTGGCAGTTGCTTCGCTACTTGGTGGAGGCTATTTGCTGGAATGTATCATGTAACGTCAATAGCCCGGCAAGCTATCACACTCGTGGTCAACAGTGTATTTCTTGGTTTTTCGGGCAGGCTAATAACTGCATGCTTCAGGTTCACGTAACAACAGAAACGATGAAAATCTCAATCAAGTGTTGGTATTTTACAAAACACCAATGAGTAGCTTTAATTGCCATGAAGTACTGAACAGTTAGCTACTTAACTTAGCTTAGCTTAGCTTAGCTTAGCTTACTGGCAAGGCTAGCTAACTCTGAGGATCCTAAGCTAGCGATAGCGCTCCTTAACCTAGCTTACGGTGCTTGTTTCTAGGCCAAAATTCACTGGTGACCTCTCTCTCTTTTTTTATTATGTTCTTAATAAACACATTTCCAGCTCGTTTGACAGAGTAACGTATTTACCTTTTTTAGTTCATTTTCAGAGGCAGACGGTGAAACTCCGAGGATGTCGTATAGCTTCGTGTCCACAACGTTCGACATGATGCTAACCGGCTATACAGAGAGACCTTCTGCGGCGGTTCAGCTGAGAGAGGAGCCGACGCAACAATCACCGGCTGGGGCTGTCCTGGGTTGCCAGATGCTCAGACAAAAACACCCACTTGGATACAGATGCCACTAAACAGCATCCATGTTATCCCCCCAAAACAGTAACGGGGCTTGTGTTATTACGTGGAGACTGGAGAGTGTTTTTATCTAAGTAATTAACGAAGTGGTACGTTTACAATTAGGCAGGTTATATTATTACTGATATCAACGCTTTATGCCCGGAAGCGAGTGTCTACATGAGGTGGAAATGGCTGCAAATTTACTTTTAGACTGAATTAATACAATGAATGCAGAAAAACACATACAAAAAACATGTGTTCAAATGTGTCCCCTGACCACTAGAAATGGTATTTGCATCAGAAAATGTGGGATAGTAGGTGAGAGGGAGTTAGGGTGCGTCTTAAAGGAAGGTTACACACTGTCTGAAGTTTAAACATACCCTATGAGTGAATTTGGCTTTTTAAATATATCCCCAAATCTTGGCGTAGAAGAAAAGCAGCATTTAGTTGAAGTGGGTAAATTCGAAAGTCCAATGCATGGGGGCACTGAAGGTCTATGTTTTAGGACATTTTAAGCATCACTTGATATTTACCTTCAGCAAATTGTGACCTAATTTATGTTATATCTGGTGTCAGTCAGTCTCTTAAGGTACATCATAATCCCTTCTATGATCAAGACCATAAAGCCCCTGTTTTCTGCTTGCAATTTCCAATTACTAGTTAATATAGCTATATAGCTTCTTATATACATTCTAATTATATTGTATATATATAGTAACTTTAATCTGAGGTGAATAGAAGTCACTAGTTGCTATTTAAAAGCTGTCAAAGCCAATGTCTACTGGTGGTTATACTGCAGCAGATTTTTTAAATGAATAATAATTGTTTAAGGATGAAGGGTAAAGGAAATACATAATCTTAAAGCAGTGGGGGGGGAGTGACAAAGTACATTAACTCAAATACAGTTTAAAGTACTTGTACTTTACTTGAGTATTACTTTATACCTCTACTCCACCATATTTCAGGGAAAATATTGCACTTTTTAACTAAATATCTATTTCAAAACGATAGTCAGTAGTTACTTTTACATACAAAACATAAGATCAGTTTATAAAATATTATGTATTATTTTAGATTAAACTAAATAATTTAAAGCTGTTAAAATTATAGACACTTCAACCAGCAACCAGTAGGCTACTGCTTACATTTTTGGGGGCGTTTTACCTTCGATACGTTAAGTGCATTATGTTGCCAATACATTATTCTTCTTTTAATTGCTTTTGAGTATTTCAACATTGTGGGATTGCTTATTTTTACTTCTCTGAATACTTCTTCCACCATTGACCTATATGGATTACATAGAGAACATTGTTTTGGGGTTTTATTTTGCCTGGAAGGGATTCTTAGCACTACATCTAATAATCTGTACAGCTGCAGTGATGCTGCAGATGCACATATGGTAAAATAATAGATGTGCAGACCTGTAACTGCACACAGGGTCAGCATGGGGGATCAGAGTCACTACACATGGTCCTCTGTACACCAGGTGATGAACAAGTCACAGCAATTTTCTTTAGGTATATCTTTTTCTTCAGGGCTTCATTTAAAACTTACTTGAGTTGCACATTTTCATTGTCTGCCTAGTTTTGTTCATGTTGCAAGTAAATATGTAAATATTAAACATTTGGTCCCTATAGGCTTTACAGCAAAAACTCTGAGGTCAGAAAGTGAGGGACAGTCCCTAAACACTGCCAGGTGTCCATGGCATGGCAGAGAACAAAGCAATTTCTTCAGTAATAGTGAAATGTTTTTATTATTATTTTGATCTCATTGCACCTTCCTTGCCACAATTTGAGAGTTATAAATCGGACTATTTTGCTGCAGTATCAGCCAGCTTCCGAGAGCAATTTTTCAGGGTGACCACAAATAAACATGGAGTAGGTCTTGTGTTTCCACACTTGATGGACAGTTGAACTTTTGATTACGTTTTTAGGTATCCGCCATTTTGATTTCCAAATCTGACAGATTTTTTGTTGTTGTTGCCTGCCTGCTGAAACATAACTTGGACAGTGTCGATACCGCAGGTCAACACAGACCAGGCTCCGTGCAGCGGCGGCAGTGTAAACGACATTGCAACCGGGAAAAGGACCGTTTCTCCAAGCTAACAAACGGGCATCTATGGGCCTCCGGGTGACATGAGAGCCAAACTCAGCCGATTTGCCGTTCAACTTTTGGGTGACGACTGATACGAAGATGGATACATGGTAATAATCGCTTGTCTTTTGGGAGAAACCAATGTAACGGTAACCTAACGTAAACCCTGTGCTTGTGGTCGTAAGGATGGTGACGCTTACTGAATCGGAAGGACACCGTCACGCAGCCTTGACACAACTGACCGATGTTAGCATCTGAGCTATCGTTTGCGACCCGGTAACGTTACCGTATTGAAATAGTTTGGTAACGTTAGGAACGTGATTAAGATATTGCTAGCGGGCTGGTTTACGACATGCATGCAAGGTAAGTGAAAGGCACCGTCGTTACACACTGTAAACGCACTGGTAGCTTATCTCCTGCTGACAATCTCTGATTTGGCATTACGTTAAGATAGCTGTCTGGATAAGATTAGTGACGCTAAATTAACCATAATATACGCAATATACCATGCTATCCGTTGATGGCTAGCGTTAGCTAACTGTCACCAGCTGATGTGAGGCCCGTCTTACAGCTGATCATGTTTGTGCTGTTGTATGACATTTAAAATACATTTCTGATTTAGCTATGGGGTAAGGACGAATTCATGAAGTGCTTAGTCTTGGCGAAAAACACCTCTTTGTTTAGCCTTGTTTATTGTTGTTGTTTATACCCACATTAGGCAGCGATCGTTATTGTGATACAGTCAATTTTAATGGTGCGTGGAAATGAGCAAGTTATGTTAAAACCTAATTTCACACTGTAAATATACTACACTCGTTCTATTGTCCGAATGCTGACTTTGCGGTATCCGAAAATATCAATTTTCATGTAGATCCTTATCCACAATTTAGACGAACACGATGGATAACGTTATGCAGCGTGTTTATCATGATAATCGACTGTTTTGTCCAATGGATGAAGGCTTGAATCATAGGCTGTTAAGATGGATTCTTTACTGTATCTGCTTTGAGTCAGGAGGTGTAAGTTTAAGATCCCTCCCTTCAAGGCATTGGCCAGTGACAGCTCCTGTCTGTCCCCAAACAGTGTTCAACTCTCATTATCACCACACCTTATCTCAAATGTGTAGTAAGATCTCTGCTGAGGATTTGTTTTGTATAGCATTATTTACTCCTGTAACTAAATGTGTGAGGCCATTCTCAAAGCAAGCTGGGTAATGTCAATACTCAGATCTGCAGCACTAACTCAATTACAGATGCATTGCTTCCTGCTCCCTCCAGAGAGGAGTGTAAGCCTAGTCACCACACTTACGCTGACTTAAATTCTTCTGCTAACTGTAAGGATGCAATGTATCTCTTCCTGGAAATTATTCTGTAACATTTGTTGTTTCTTATTTTCTCATTACCAGCTTGATGCCAATATCTCCTGGGTTTGAGTGTCTGACTGAAGTGGGTGTGTTTGTGTCTTCATTCTGTGAATTTGCTGATGCTGACTGATGTCCAGGCCATGCAATGTCAATAAGGCAAATGGCTGTTTAGCAAGATCTGACTGAGGATACTGCTCCTTGTCCATATGTAAGAGCATGCATTAGATTACATCACACAGTTAATTGTTCAGCACACAGTTCAAAATAGTGTGATTAACCTATATGCTCAACGGATCACCATGTCACATCCTCTTTTGATCAACAGCTAAGTGTGTGTGCCGGTGACGTCAGCCATGTTTTGGAAATTTGACTTGCACACATCTTCTCACCTGGAGGCTTTACTGGACAAGGAGGATGTCACGCTCATTGAGCTCATGGAGGAGGAAGATGTGTTGCAGGAGTGCAAGGCCCAGAACAGGAGGTCTGTAAATTGTCCATTGGTGTGTTTATATACTGCATATCAGCAGCATGTTATGATATTATTGCATTTGACTGTCCAGTAAGTCCTTTGGATGCTAACTGGTGCTTCTTTTCTGATCATTGTGGATTTGTAGACTTCTCCTGTTTGTGTGCCAGGACCAGTGCATGCAGGACCTGGTCCGAATGATTACTACAGAGCCCCCTACTGGTGTAGAGGAGACACGGCGCTTCAAGTAGGTGGTTGTGCAGAATATGCTGATGTAGCATACTGTATCCAGGAAAAGATGTGTTCTGCTGGTGCTGCACAGCATCATATCTTACCTGCCATTTTTTAAAGTAAAGATGAGAGTTCAATTGGGCTCAGATTAGTGAAAATAAATGGTTCTTTATCCAGCTATTTAAACCCACCTTTGATCATGCATTGTAAATGTAAAACTACTTGATTGCCTGTTGGACAACAATCTGTGGAAATCAGGACAACCCTGTTCCTGTTTTTTTTCCAGTTATTTATAATTTGGTTTTGTTTTAGCTTGGTTTTACTTCAAGGTGTGTTCTCTTCATTTATTATAGATATCCAAATATAGCATGTGAGCTTTTGACATGTGATGTGGGAGTGATCAATGATAAGCTGGGTAATGAGGAGCCTCTGCTGGAAACTCTGTATGCCTTCCTGGAGCAGCCGTCCCCACTTAACCCCCTCCTGGCATCCTTCTTTAGCAAGACAATTGGGAACCTCATCACACGAAAGACCGAGCAGGTAACACACACAAACACATTCATACAGCTACATCAAAGGGCATACTATGAGAAGATGTCATCTATGTTTGTTGTGTTGTCGTGATTTCATTCACAAAGTCTGAGGGGTGCTAACAATGACAACTACTCTCAACCATTATAGTTGTAGAAGTTTTATTTATTTTGGAACACGTAAAGCAGTGCACAAAGTTCAGATATTACCCTGTTAGTGGGGACGTTGGCCTGTCTATCTGACCAGCTGGTTGGAACTGACATTGTGAATGGTTATTTATGTTCCAGAGGTGACATGGACCATCACTTTGGTCCATGACACTTCATTCAAAAACTAATCGCTGGACTTAACGAAAGTTCCGTGGATATCACTGCCACTTGTACTCAGTTCACCAAATTTACAAAATAACCCATATTTTCTCACTTACCACTACTACTAGTGATATAGTCCACACTGCACACCTTAATATACATTTGTGTAAATATGTATTCTTGCAAGTGGATAGGAGCTATATAGAGATGTAATGTTTGCATTATCTATAGCTTGTGATTATGTGTGCAAAAGGCTCAACCCTGAAGCTAAAACGTCTGTGCTGTACATTGACTCTAACAGCGCAGAATTAAAAGAGCATTTGTACTTGCATGTGCAGGTGTTTTGAAATATCTACCTCTGTAGATATTGCCGCCCCAATATGTTACATATTTTGCTGCTCAAATCACTGAAAAATTGCATTTTAAAATATTGAACAGCATGTTTTTTTTGCAGAAACAATATCCCACTTGCTCACGATATATATATATTTTCTATTTTTCGAAAATAAGCCCAAATAAAACTTTTGAAAGCAAGGTCGCATGTGCTTTTCTTGATTTTAATCTGATACCGATTTTCAGTTTAGTATAATTGGTGTGTCATGCTGTTTCCTCTGCTCTCTGCTGTGTTCAGGTGATTAGTTTCCTGCGACAGAAGGAGGGATTCCTTTCCTTGGTACTGAAGCATATCGACACATCAGCCATGATGGATGTGCTCCTGAGGCTTATCAGCTGTGTTGAGCCACCCCCTCTGAGGCTCGAGACACTTATTGTATGAGACAAATGGACCCACATTCACACCATACTTTTACACACTACACACTGACATTGTTTGCACTTATAATGTGATATTTTCTCGACAGTGGCTGAATGAAGAGAAGCTGGCCCAGAGACTCATAGAGCTCATTCACCCTGAGAGAGATGAAGAGGTAGAAGGGCATTTCAGTATTTTTATACGAATGATTAACTAATATCTTTGCTAAAACATACTACACAGACTCTTGAATAGAACATTTACAGGACAGATTGTTCATGTGTGTATTTGTGTTTTTCCTCTCACAGAGGCAGTCCAATGCATCTCAGACTTTGTGCGACATCATTCGTCTGAGCAGAGACCAGGCCAATCAGCTCCAAGAGATTTCACAGCCTGACCCTTTGCTGACTGTGCTGGAGTCGTAAGTCGGACAGATTTACACACACAAACCCGTTTGCTCTCTTTCTACAGGATGTGGAGACGATGACATACTCCGCTCTGTTTCCACAGGCAGGAGTGTGTGGAGCAGCTGCTGCAGAACATGTTCTCAGCCGAAAGTACTGAGAGCTGTATCATCAACGGAATTCAAGTTCTTCTCACATTACTGGAAATCAGGAGGCCTGTGTGAGTGTGAGAGTTTTAAGCAATTTTAAACTGTTTATAAATAATACTATCTAGTTATACTATGCAAGGATCCCAAATGTCATTTTTCCTTTGGCCCCTCTCCAGGTGAAGTTAGTCACATCTCTCTTGACCATTTATTAAATGTTCTGCTTCCTGTTTTTCATACATTTGGTCTGTTTATATATCAGGGTGGATGGTGTAATGGATGCTCAGGGATTTGAGAGAAGTTACACCGTTAACAGCAGCATTTTGTTGGCCATCCAACCACACCTGATACATTTCCACCAGCTACTTCTGGAGCCACCCAAGGTATGTAAACAAAGATATAATCACCTATAGGATCTTCATTTTAGCTGTTGTAGTATGAGACCACTGCTCATGATAAATACATATAATGATGGCTATCAATAGAAACATCAGAGATCCCTTGCACACCAGTATAATTCAGTTGCACACAATATGGAAAGCAATGGAAATTTTCACTTGCAGAGAGTGAGAGCATACTATAAATATCAGGCATGCCCCTTTCTTAAAAAGTGATGTCTGATGGCTCTGCCATTTAGACAGTAGTTGCACCTTTATAACACAACTCTGCTAAACCTTTAAACGTTTGTTCCCCAAATTCCTCTATGCCCTCCATCTGTGTGCTTTTAGCGGAATCCCATGCTGACTTCTATGGGTGTGCTAGAGGAACCATTAGGGAACACACGTCTGCACGTAGCCAGACTGGTGGCCTCTCTGCTGTATACCAGCTCTGCTAGCCACGCGGTAGTAGCACAGGAACTCTGCCGACTCAATACAATGGACCTGCTTCTGGTGAGATGTGCAAACACGCTGCATTTTTAGCCCAATAATGAGAAAGTAATGAATGTTAAATGTCCCATCGAAAAACCTTCCTTTTTTTTTTTTTTTTCAGGACTTGTTCTTCAAGTATACATGGAACAACTTCCTGCACCTCCAAGTGGAGCTTTGCGTTGCTGCCATCCTCCGGCCCTGTGCCCATGAAATGAGACTTCAGCCTGGCTTGGGATCCCAGGACAAATCCAATCCTCATCAGGATGCCTCACAGGAGCAGGCTTTGACTGATACCCCTTCTGAACCTTCAGCCACCCCTGAAAACTCTACACATAATCTAATGGTGACTCATGTAGGTTTCTCTGCTTGTGTTTGAAGCTAGAGGCTTAATTTACATTTAATCTGCTGGAACGTAGATTTAAAACAATTTATTGACTCTCTCTATTTTTCTCTCAAGTTGTTTCAGCACTGCCACCTTGTCCAGAGGATTCTGGAGGCTTGGGAAGAGAATGATAAAATACAGTGAGGATCTTAATGGCATAATGTTGTTCTTGCTAACAGGCAACAGCTGCCTATAATGGGGTGTGTGGTACCTCTGTGTTCAGGTCAGAAGGTGGTATGAGAAAAGGGTACATGGGACATCTGACCAGAATTGCCAACACAGTAGTCCACAACCTGGAGAAGGGCCCAGTTCACACACAGATTAGTAGTCTCATTACAGGTGAGTGTGGACACTCACTTTCCTATGTGAAAGAAATACACAATTGCCAGTCTACTGGAATAATGCTTTCTAAATGCTGCTGTTCTTGTGTTTTTGGATGTAGAGCTGCCAGAGGACTACAGAGGGCGCTGGGAAACCTTTGTGGACCAGACCCTGTCGGAGACTAATAGGAAGAACACCATAGACCTGGTAAAGACACACACATGCTCATCTACAGTATATAATAGCTGTCTGTAATAACACACACACTCAAACTTCAAACGTGGCATTTGCGGTGTTTTTTTCCCATGTCCAGATTGGCATTGGAAACCCACGCCCTTCCTCAGAGGATGACATGGAGAGCCCCTTCCCGAAAGAACTGACACTACAGCAGGTAGACATACATATGCACACACACACAAAACATATTGACAGACTCTGTTATCATAGATCATAATCTAATTCAAATTATAATGTGTGTTTTAGGCCTTTTCAGACTACCAGATCCAGCAGATGACGGCTAACTTTGTGGATCAGTTTGGCTTCAATGATGAGGAGTTTACTGATCATGACGACAGCATTGGGTAAATTAAATGACATTCTTCTCTGTATGACAGTGAGCTACTGTTATTGTGTGTCAATTGAGTGTTTTCTACTGTTCCTGGCAGAGCAACGTTTGACCGAATTGCTGAGATCAAAATCAACATTGATGCAGGACAGGACAATGTGAGTTATTTTATGTAATTTACACAAATTTAGTCACACATTTGTTTTATAAAGTTGTGTTTCTGTAATGCATTTGGGCTGCAAATGTCTTTTGTTAATTCTTAAAGATGCATTCATGAATTGTATGGATACACAGCCCCACAATTCAGGTTTAAGGTTTCGCCTTATTCATAGCATTTGCTATGATGCATTATGAATCTTGATGCACACTGATTAAACTAAACACATCTGCTGTGTCCACCTGTCCTTTGCAGGCTAATACAGCTGTGTTTGAGACCTGTTCCAAGGAGAGGATTCAGCCCTTTGACGACGATGAAGAGGACATTTGGGAGGAGAAAGAGATCAAATTTGCAGCACAAACCAAGTCCCGTAACAGGTAGACACACAGCAATAAATACTGATGAGCCACGCTCTGGATTTTATTTCAGCATTACGCTTGAATTATTATATGAATTAGTTGTCCTTGCTCAGTCAAACATACAAAAATGTTTTGTGTGATTCAAGATTCGGTGGGTCACGATCATCCCAGAGCCCAGCAGCCAGTAAAGATTGTGATAGGACGGCAGCTTCTGGCACCGAGGCCTCTGACAGAGCAGCAGACTCGGACTCCGAGGAGGGAGAGAATCCCAAAGAGGACCTGGATCCTTTCTCAAGCCAGGGCCAGACCGATGGAACAAAGAGTGAGAAATATTGTCTTCTGTAGTGATGCATAATGGTTTTGCCCATATGTAAGGGCCTGAAGCAGGGTTTGAGCATGTGTCTCATGGCGTTCAGGCACTGGCTGGGTAGCAGACTTTGGGGAGGTGAACTCAAAGGCTCCTGCAGCAGGAGTGGGCTTTTCTGCCTGGGACACTCCAGACTCCAAACCAGCTGCCACAGAGGCGGAGGAGAAAGGATGGGCCAAGTTCACTGACTTCCAGCCTTTCTGTTGGTGAGTCTGAGTGTGGTCTAAATATGAGGATCTGAAAGCTTTGTTTTGATAAAGCTATTGTGGTAAAATACTACTAATACGTTTGCATCACCCTTTCAGTAATTACAAAACTACACATTAAGGCAAAAAAAGGAAATTGTGGTAATAGTTGAATGAGAATATATTTGAAGAAAAGCCCCAGCATGTATTTACAGCTTGAAATTAAACATTTTAAACATTGGTTGTACCAGTTGTTTGTTTGTTAAATTGCTAAAAAATATATATTTTTGCACAAGCAACATAGATACTCACTATAATGGGGACAAATTCAACCTTGCATTTCAATGCATGTGTGTCTGCAGTTTATTGTCTGTACTGTTTACTTATCTGTTACTTGTATCCGCAGCTCTGAAACAGGCCCTAGATGTAGCTCTCCTGTGGACTCTGAGCTCAGCGGACCAGGCAACACCAAACCCAACCAGAACCGTAAGTTGCTGCAGCTCGGCAAATTAACGCAGTAACTTGTATTATTTTTTGAAAAACTTTTTTTAATATGTAAAATTGACAATTGCAAATATAAATGTGATACCACAATTAACTTTTCATTCTATTATTAGAATGAATATAGTCAAAGGATAAACAGTCAAACAGTTCATTGGACACATTAATGTACTCACTGCGAAAATAATGTGACCATATGTGGCCCAGAACACCTCCAAATATGATCTGAGCGATCGGATCTCAATGTGTCTTCAATGTGTCTTGGGTGTACTTGGAGCTGTCCACTTGTGTTCGGATCACCCAAGATGCATGTTAATGCCAGGTCTGAACAGGGCCTTAGAGTCATATGACTAAAACCTATATGCATGTGGCAGCTCATTACTACTGCCTCTCAATCTCTTACCTTTATGAGTGGACCTCTCCAGGGAAATGAGCCTACAACCATTGTAAAGTCAGATAATTCTTCTTCTTCTTCGCTTTCTGCAGCGTGCGTGTGGAGTGTGTGTGTGGCGAGAAAAGCTCCACTGGTAGCGTCGGACAGCTCTTCCTCCAGCAGCTCAGACAGTGATGAGGAAGAGGGAAAGACAGAGTCTTCAACCACCGATACGGTCACCACAGAAACCATCACCACCGGGGCTGGAAAGGAGACCATTCGGCTCACTGTGGACGCCAAAAATGAAAGGGCAGTCTTCAGCAGGTAGCACACAAGTGACGTGCAGCTGCTCTATCTTGATTGTTGCAGCGTGTCCCCCTTCCCCCAGTGTACTTTCAAGTGTTTTTATAGAGCTCTTCTTCTTCTCAAAAACAATCTTTTTCCCGCACAATCTTACCTCCACCTTCTCTGTTTTTCTTCTGATATTACCCTCCTCCTGTCTGTTCCCTCCTTTCCCATCTCCCTTTGACTCCAGAGTATTCAGACCAGCAGTCAGACGGTATGTTGTGCTTAAGGTCCTTTGCTCTGGAGTGTTCCTCAAGTTGTATGAAGGCTTTAAAAGGCCATCATAAGCACTTATGTGCCACGTTTTTTTGGGGGTTTTTTTGCTTGTTGCATTTAACAGGATGTGATAACAACAATTACTCGCCATGATTCAGGACCAGCCTAATTCATCACAAGAATATACTAACTCACTGCTGGTGGCTTGTAGAGAACCTACAGGACCTCTGTCCCTATGCAAGGCTCATCCCATGTTCTCAACATAACTCTATAGTTCTTGATGATGACCCCAAGCACGCAACAGTCCACTCGGCATTAAAAAAAATGAAACGGTGGCCTGTTAACCTATGAAACTACACCAAAAGATGAGATCAGTCTATGATAACTCTTTGGTTTTTTGATACCGATTATTCTGGTCTCAGTCATAACATAAATATAAGTTTACTAACAGTATGTCAGATAGCATGCTATGAACAGAAGTTGCTACCAATCCAGCACATCACCATTCTAACAAAACAATACATTAGTAAGTTACTAACAAACAGTGCAACTACAAGCATGCTACAATGGCATCTGAGGGTAATTAGCTTAGCACAAACCTTAGCCACTGTGTGCCCAACTCCCTTTGATGTTGGCCGGTCACAGCCAGCTGTGTGTTGGCAGTAACAGGTGAGTGGATTCATGCGTTGCTGTCCGCGCTGGGCATGGTGATGATGGTATTACATTACATGGTAATGACTAGTGTGGACAGCTGAAAGCAGCAACTCTGGTGAAATTGAGCCAATTTAGCAGAAAGTAGCATCTGCAGTTTGTTCCTTACGTTATGAGTTCAGGTGACAAGCCCTGGCTATGCCCCTAGTTAGTTATAACTTCATTTCTTTGTTGTTTTGCAGCGAAGCAGTTAAGGTGCCAGTAGAAGGACTCTCCATCAAAGACAAGGAGAAAGGCAACAAGAAAGAACACAAAAAGGGAAAGAAACATGGAGACTGTCCCAACCCAACTACCACCAGTCCAACTAACCAATCGGCTGCTGTCACACAGTAAGTGTGTGTGTGTGTGTGTGTGTGTGTGTGTGTGTGTGTGTGTGTGTGTGTGTGTGTGTGTGTGTGTGTAATAACACCACTTCATTTGACAAAATGTCTCTTTATTATCTAATAACAACCACATTGTAATAAATTATTCCACTTTGTTGAGGACATATTGAGAATGAATTTATTCAAATTTTCCTCAAACGTCCACTTGGACTCGAGGACGAACTGATGACAAATTGAACAGATGTGGATGTAAGCTGCAACTTACTGTACATACTAATGTGAGGCAGTAATCCTAGTTTCCCTCTCTTTAAAATAGAAGTTACTGGTTTGTTTAACTGTAATTTAATGCAATAAGGTTATAGCCAACATTTTGTTAACCTGCATTATATAAGGGTGGAGGCAGAATATTTAGTGATAGATATCTCAAAATCTTAGTGAATGAAACCAAACTTCTCTTCATTTTCCTTTCTGTTTTTTATCATGTTGATCATTTTGTCATGTTTTTGTTTTTTTTCTTGCAGAGAGATGCAGCCATCGGCTAATGGACCGGCCTAACGATGCAGCAAAGGCACACACACACACACACATGCTCCATACCGTTCCATTCAACACACAGCAATGCCAGCTTTGCTTCACGTTAGCAGCCCTCATTTTCCCTTTTTGTGTCCGAAGAATGGTATGTGCTCAGTGTTGAGGTCACACAGCCCTCAACAGTATGTTTGCTGGGTAACACACATCTACACGTAGGTGCATTGATCTCTCCTGCACCTAAATTATAACTGAACCGCTTCAAAGAGGAATGTATGTTTCACAGAACATTTCATCGTACTACGCACCCAAAGCCAAACTCAGAATGTAATTTAAGAGAGTGACAACACTCTTCCCTGTTTTGATGAGCAGAGGTCACACTGAGTCTTTGAGGCTGTGGCACTTTAAGTAAACAAATACCGTAGTCTGAAATTTGACCTTTTTTATTAAATTCAGCATCAAATTCCAGATTGTTTGAGCACGTCTGCTCTCCGGGCATTAAATCACAAACCAGAGTTTCTTTTCTATTGGAGCATTTGACTGTTTACACTTTAGTAAAGAAAACTGTATTCAAATAATCCGCCAAGATTACAAAAGCCAAGATGCTTGCAAAGCTAGCTGCCATTTTCTCTTCAGCGTTTCATGCCAGGCAGACATTTTATTAGTACAAATGTGTGAGTGATAATTTGGCTTTTTTTTTTATACATGCTACTAAAATCATTTAGTTCGATTTCTTTGCTTTGATCACGCACAACATCAACGCTCTCTTTTTTTTATTTGGAGCCTCAGATTTGGGATCATCATGTGTCACCCCCCTCCATGTTGAAAAGTGTGTGTGCTGTTGTATTCATGTGTGAAGGCATGTGTGTGTATGTGTGTTTGAGCTCTGTCTGAGGTACAGAGTGCATTCTCAGGTCAAAGGAGAGTTATGAGGCTACAACGAAAGCACACCTGTGTAACATTCACACATACATACAGTGCTGTACACACATGCATACACAACTAAATCCTGACACGCGTGCAAAAAAAAAAAACAAAAAAAAAAACAGTGATGTCCACAATTCATATCACCGTCTGAGCTGTTTAAATGTAATATTGTGAAATTTGAACATGTATTAGGTTGTGGCTATTCTTGGTAATATGTAAACGTAATATAAATATAAACGGTATATATAAACATTATATCTATTTTTGGAATAAATCCAATGTATGGAAATGCGGTTGTTTGCAGGTTGCAACGTGTGTATTGTATGTGTGTGTGTTGTACTGTTGAAATGAGGCAATAATGACGTGTGTGTTTCAGTTAATACTCCAGCATCAGTTCCTGTTGCTCTGCTACTTGCTTCCTACATAGAGGTTGCGTGAGAGTGTGCGTGTATTTGAGTTGGTAGGCTGTGGTTTGTCGTCCTTATTTTCCGAAAGAATAATGCTGTCTTAGAGCTTGGGTCTTGTTTTCATTCAGTTTTAAACAAAATACCAGATTAACTGATCTCATTAGGAAGTGAAAACGCTGGTGAACATCGAAATAATACCAAAACTGCTGCTTCAACCTTAATATTATTATTATTATTATTATCATCATCATATTATTAGTGTGCACATACTTTTCCTATGTAAAATACTGGACAACAATTTTGCTAATCAATTAGTCATTAAGTAATTTTTCAGGCAAAATATCCCAGTTTCCCAATTTTGATCTTTTCTTTGTCTAATGTTGTAATTAACTGAATGATTTTAGGTTTTGGACTGTTGGTCAGACTTTAAGAAATGATGACAGTTGACAGACCAACCAATGTATCGATCTAATCAGTCAACTACTCAGCTAATCAATCGTCTGTGGCAGCTGTGCTCTCAACACTTTGAGAGAACACACATTCACCTTTGCCACAAAGTAAAGTGTATTAACATTATACCTTGTTGAGTACAATCTAATCATAACCGATAGAAATCATGACAAAAACAAGACCCACGTTGTTATAAACCAGAATGATTCTTTAGGTTTGTGTGTGCCGGACAGTTACGCTTTACTTTATCGTTCTCCTTGTCGCTCTCTTTCTCAGGGCAGGAGTTGACTTTAATTGCATATATGCCGATGGAACGATTTCCATAGATTGTTGTATTTATTTAAAAAGCACTTTTTCAAGAAGCACTTTTGGTTTGTATTTGGTGGTGCCAAGCGCCATCACATTATTCCCCACTCTGAGGTGGTGGGAATGTTTGACTTGAACGAGTGAATTATGTAGATACTTTAGAATACTTTTTTCTTCAATGCTTTCTGCCAAAGTGTGTCTTCCCACCAGTGTTACAGCTGGCTTTCATATCTGTGAAGTAGCCTCCATTCTTGCAATGGTGTCACAGGTCTAGATTAATCCAAACCAGTCTTTGTTTGATCCCTCTCATTTCTTTCCATCATGCGATGGAGTTATCAACAGTAAGAGAGAGGATGCCACATGTCAAAGAAAGACTTGGAAGATTCATCTTAGACCACAGATATTTTGCTTTTATCTGTTCAAACACTTTGAAGTGTTTGACGTGGAGCTGTGTAGAGTAAGCATTGGTTCAAGTCAGGGTTAGAGGAGAAAAACAGGGCTTTTTCTTTTGTCAGGGTGTGTTCAGGTCCGGATTTTCATCCCGTCCTTATCCAAACCTAAGCACTGCGTCTGACGCTTACGTTGTGTTTTTTGGTGGGTCTCCTTCACCTTGAGTGGGCTGCGTGTGCAGTGTAGCTACGAGTATGGTGTGATGTTTTGCATTAATGGCATGAGGTACAATACCATCATCTTTAAGTGCCATTAGGTTTGCACATTAGCCTCATTCACCTCATTGGGTGTGTGCTGTGTTGTACAGTGTATGCCCAAAACTTTAATTAAGAGACAATGGGTGTTCAATTGTTACTTCATCCCAGTGTCTGTTCTAAGGCCATTTCAAAGTTTAAATCTTCCTCACGTTATAGCTTATTGTGTAGGTGAGTGTGTGTGAAAGGCAGCTGTGTTGTAAAATAGCTTTTTTTTTTTGTAAAGTGGACTGATGCTGGTGTGTGTTTTTTTTCGTTTTTTTTCATTTAGGGAGTAATGTGTCTGTTTCCTGTTGTCAATTTTGCTTGTACATTCAGATATGAACCTAATAAATATGTCAGACCAAGAAGAAGCATGAGCCTGTGTTTGTCTCACATTTACAGCCTGTTATAATAAGAACACTATTGTACAAACAGAGAGCGAGCAGGACTTGGTCTATGGAGGCGCACAGATGTTTACCTTAGGGGCAGGTGAGCTAATGGATTATGTTGCCTACCGCTCCTCACACTGACAATTAATGCGACACCATCTCCCCGCAGTGCAAACATACACTTTCCTGTCACGTAGATCTGTGCTGTGAGCTGGAATGAGTTCATGTAACAGTGGGGGAGGAGCTAAACTCCCTTCTTTTGTGTTCAAAACACTTCACATATTCACTTTTCTTTAGCTTGGAGTCACATATGTCCTTGCCCATTTCCTGAGCTTGTGTGTTGTCTCTTGGCTCGGACACATCGTGCATGTCATCACATTCCTCTAGAGTTTCCAAGCACAGATACTGAACACACCTGCTGCTGCTCCGGCTTCTCTTTCTACTCCTCTCCCTCCCTTGCTGTCCACTTCCACAGAGAGAAAAAAAAACACATTTTAGTTTGCCTGCTCTTTGTGTAGTGAGTGTGTACATGTGGAGAACAGTGTGTGTATGCAGTGGGTGGAAAGGGGAAGAAGGCGGAGTTGTGTTTTGTACTTTAATGGGTTGTGGAGAAACCTGCCTGTCTGCTCAGCGCTGGGAGAGGAGGAGCCTGTGGGGTGTGGGACTCCAGACAAAGGAGATACTCTCTGACACTGGATCACTGGAGCAAAAGAAGATGCACAGGAGACAATCCTCAACTCCTGGACCACTTTCTTTTTGTGTTTTGGAAAACTTTGTGTTTTTTTTGTGTTCGTCAGCTGTATGGATTCATTTGTGATTTGAGAGATGTTTGTGCCGGAGCAGTGGTTCCCATATGCTGTCTGTGGCGTGTAGAAGTGTGCGGGTTAGTATGTTTGGGATGGAAAAGTGGGGCGACCATCACCTCTGCTCTTAGCTTCACGCCATGGGGGGCTGTCATAGTTACCCCTCGGCTACGAAGGCAGACAGTGAGACTTTTCAGCCTTCTGATATCAGCGGTGAGAAACTGTAAGTTGTATTTCTTTCTCTTAACTATCTTCATCAGCGTTACACTTATACTCATGTTTCAGTTTCCTATCTGTTCCATCTTTCTATAGTCACCGTCTTATACTCTAGTACTCTGACTGAACATACATTAACATACAGGAAAGCAAGATGTTATTATAGTAATGGATAGTGTGGAGGCAACATGACTGGAAAGCTGGCCACACATGGTTTACTCAGGAATGTTCTCCAGATAAAGTTCTGTGTGTGTGTGTGTGTGTGTGTGTGTGTTACATATTTGTCTGATGGCATCAGTTAAGGCGGATTCCTCCAACAGCTTGAACACATGTTGAGCAGTAGTTTGAACCAAGATCAGGAACGACTGTTTATTTTAAAGATCATTTTTGCCCTTTTTATGCCTTTTTTGGATATGACAGTGATAGATATACAAAAGGGGGGGAGAGGGGGAATGACGTGCAGCAAAGGGTGGGGTTTCGAACCCGGGCCGGGACGTTAAGGATTAGGCTACCAGGCCGCCCTGTATGACTGTGTTTTTAGGACAATTTGCTATGCAAATATTTGCTTGTAGATGAATCTGTAAGGTCCAGCTGGCATGTCCTGGAGAGCTTTGTTTATTTCACCCTTAAGGCAGAGGTGAAGGTAAACAGATGGCGGAGAGCAGGAGAGCAGGGTCACAAAGGAGTGTGTTTACACACCAACACAACATTACAAGTAGCTACGGGATCATTGCGTTTGTGTGCTGACAACTGGTAGCAAAGAGGCGGCAATTGAGTTAATACCATGAAGCTGGAACAAAACAGGATGTTAACAGAAGAAGTTCCTGTGGACTTTAGATAAGTTAGGCTGGGATTTACACTACTGTACCTTTGTACAGCTAATGTTTACATTCCTCTCTGTCAGTGTTCCTCCCTCTCTACCTCCTCTAACCTTTAGTTTGGACAAAGACCTGCTGTTTAGACCATTAAACTAATTCTTCCTGCCCATACACACATTTAAACCAGGGTGAGTGAAACCCCATAGAGGGCACAGTGTTTCCCTAATCGCAGTGGGCAAGGTCACACCGAGTAAACTCTCAGCTGTTCCAAAACTGTCTACACCCTAACAACTGCTGGCTGATTCCACTACACTTTGAAATATTCACTTACATCCAAACCCCTCGTAAAAAACAACACTCTAGCTATTGGACAGAAAAAACAGAGTAGAGCACTCCTCGTCATCATCACAGTACACTACCTGGTCACCTTCTTGTTTGCATAAAGTCAAATCATGCTGCCAAGTTTGACTTTCCAGTATATGTTGGCATTCCCAAACAACATCATTAATTTCCTGCATTCAATTTTATAATTCTCACAATTTCCCAAACTGCCAGTCACGTGTGACTGATTATAAAGCACTACCTGTAGTTTATCAGTTGGTATATGAACTGATGTAAGAGAGCCAACAGGCCCCAGCACTCAGCTTTGCACATTATCATGCACAATGTTGGTCCTTTCAGTCATTTGCTTTTGTAGCACTGACCACTGCAGCAGTGAGCTTCATTATCAGTAATTACTCTTGGCTCTAAACTGCCTTCATTAAATTAACTGCTGGTTTATTGGACTTGTAGCTCTGCAGTTACAGCACTGTTTGTATGCGTTTGCATGTGTGTGTGTGTGCGCCAGCCACAGAGGGCAGGACAGATTAGAGAGCATCGGCGAGTGTATAACGTGTTATCTACCGACTGCAGCAGGAGTAATTAATCCACTGACCTATCGATTGTTATACACAGCAATACCTTCTGTCTCTCTGTCTTTCTCTTCCTGTCACTGCTTCATTAACTCTGTGCTATCTTCCCCTCAAGGGGAATTAATAACAATAATCTGGAGGAGCGTCCGTATCTGCAGCAGCAGTTCGTGTGCCAGCAGATCCCACACACAGACATGTTTGCCCTCACGGCACTGCCGCCTGGCGTCGACAAGGCAGAGTGGCTTGCCAGCAACAGTGAGTATACAACATTAAACACAGCAGATTTGGGATTGTTGGTACTCCTTTTCCTCCCCCACATACTGCAAAGAAACAGACACAGAAATATGTACAAAGTGTCATTTTTGTATGTTAATCTCTTTCAGCTGTGGCATTTTTCAAGCATATAAACCTGTTCTCCAGTGCACTGTCTGAGTTCTGCACTCCCAGCACCTGCCCAACTGCCTGTGGACCAGACAACACGTAAGTTACTGAGCATTATCTCTGTCCTATGGTATCTTGACATGCAGATACATTAAGTTTTATTTGCAGAAATATCCAGGGTGAGTCATCTATGAACCACTTTCTGCCAAAATAATTTTCCCACAACCATGAAAACTGTCCACAGTGCAGTTTGTGTATTATTATAAGTAAATGGGAGGTTGTTTCTGGGTACCACGGATGAAATTCTACAGCATTCACTTCCATTACTATAAGGGGAACTGCACCAATTTGACCTACCACAGTCTGTTAGGTCTTGGAAAGTACATATATGAAGAATATCGTATGATGCCTTTGGGGACTCCAGAAGGAGCTGTTTGATATCTGATATATTTCCTCAAGTGATGTCACTTGAATCAGTGTCGGTTGCGGCTGAAGACTATAGGTTTGAAGCTGAAGAATAGTAAGAAAGAAGTGAGGTTAACAGATATCTGTAGCTCACTCCTCATCTCTGGTTGATGCTATAGCTGCTTGAGGTTATATTATCAAGATTGTTTTCCTTCAGTCTTTCACAGCTACAGCCCTGTTTGCTTTGTAGCATAAGCACTGCATATGACCAGAAATGAATGGATCATCATTTTTTTAATCAATATTATCTTCTTGTCTGCCAAACTAAAACAAAGCAGAAGTGGAAGAAGTATTACCTGTACAATGTTCAAATAATTGCTACACTTGAGGCATGATCGTGAAAGTTCATTTGGACCATGGAAACACATAAAGTTCCTTTTTATAAGGCTGAACACAGCATGTTGTGTCTTAATTACTGTGTGTGTTGTTGTTGTTGTTGTTGTTGTCAGGGTTTATGTTTGGACCGATGACCACGGCAGGAAGCTGAAGTGCTCTGCTCCACTTTACTTTGACTATGCCATGTCATACATTCAGGAGCTACTGACTGATGAGGATGTGTTCCCCACAAAAGCAGGTAAAACAATGTTATTTATGTTGCATTGTTCTGCATCACGTTCCACATTCCCAAAGCCATTATCTCTTCCCTCTTTTTTTCAGGTTCAGTATTTCCAACGGGCTTCGTCTTTCTGGTCCAGAAGGTGTTTTTGCTGTTTTTCAGGACTCTGGCTCACATTTACTGGTCTCATTACAGACAGACACTGGCGCTGGGCCTGCACCCACACCTCAACACACTCTTCGCACACCTCATACTTTTCTGCCAGCAGCATGCCCTGTTGGAGCCGGAGGACACTGAGCCATTGCGGGACCTCATCACAGCTCTGGGACAGCAAGGCTAAACCTAAAGAGCAAACACACATATTGTACTCTCACATTTTCATCACACACTTACGTACTTGTTATATCTTGTTACAAAGCTATATAGTGTCTCTCAACAATCTGGGCCAAACTCAAACTTACTTCACAGTATGGATTTTCTTTTGCAAGTCTGTAAGTTTAAAATAGGCAATAAAATACTGTTAATGAACAGTATTTGGGAGAATGAAAGAGTCTGTTATGCTTAAAAAAAAGCAGTACTTCAGACCAGAAAAGGAGTATCTTGCTCCGGTTGTGTATATCATTGTCGTCAGTTATTGTGATACTGTGTGAATCTGTGATGTTGTATTTTAACATAATGCTGCATTATTATATTTATCTTCAAGGTCATTCATGTTGTCCTCATAGAATTAGCACCGTAATAAAAAAACAACATATTGTTAAGATGACAGTCAATGTAAACAAAATGTGACATCATTACGTTTTGAACATTTGCAGAAACACGTAAGGGTGATGCGTTGATACAAATGTGATTACATCAGCGTGACTGCATCTATGTGGAACGACACCGCCTATCTCTGCATTATGTAAGAGTCTGTGCTCTGTACTAAACATTTATGACAGACTATTTTCTGTATATATATACAGTATATATGCTCTCTTAATTATCTATAATATGCTATCATGTGTGTGGTTATCTTGGTCTGGCAGTAACTGCTGGTGCTGTATATTCAGCATGTCTTTTGTTTGAGAACAGCACCACCCGCTGCCGGCACAGGAAAGCAGCATCTATCATTTATTAACCTTAACTGTCACATGTAGTATACTGCAGTCTGTAGGCATAATGTTTGTTTTGTTGGCTGCCGCCTATTGGATTGAAATAAAACGATGACAATCCGGGTAAAGTGGTGTCGTAACTTTAAAAATAGCAGAACTACGTATCAAAGTGCCACAGGTCTCACACTACTCCCCTATTACAAATATGAACACCCTCCAGGACCCTTAAAGCTGGAAAGTCACTACTGACTTTATCCTTTTGTCATCTTTTCATTTCAAATCTTGGAGTGAAGTCAAAAGAAAAGAAAATGTGCCACTATTCAAAATACTTGGACTACATTCTTTATCTTTGGAATTAAAGTTCATGGCCCAATGTCTCCTTTTACTTCTGTATCCATTACAACAGCAAACTGATGGGTTGCAGGGTAGTGTAGGAATTAGAGAAACTGTCTCTTTCACCTGCCAGATTCACAAGTTCAAGTTCCCATTTTGGCAAACCACACCCCATAAAAATGTCCTTGAGTAGCCGTTACTGAATCCCGACCACCGGGCCACATAGACCTCCCTCTGGAGTGTTACCAAAGAGTTGCAACCGAATGCAGAGGTTTTCAAACTGAGGCCAATTTAGGGAGAGACATGTTAGGCCCTACTGCCTTAGGTAAAAGGGGCGAGTGCATGTCGATACTCCAAAAGCAACCTACTTATTTTAGTTGGTCTTGTTAATTTGGCACGTTTATCAGAACAGTCAGCAGTTGCACATCCCCTGTGTCCTAGTTTTTCAAAGCATCGAAAAGTCACAGTGTATTGTGTGTTAAAAATGTCATTAAAATATCATAGTATAGTATGTCATAACAAAATTATATATAATGTAATAATGTAAAAAATGTCATAATATAGTATTCTATAAAAAGTGTCATAAATAATGTAATGGTATATTTTATGCCTTAAAACAGCCATAAAAATAATATGGTATAGTATGTGAAAAAGAATGTATGATCTGGTACTTCATAAACCGTAAAAAGTGTCATACAAAAATGTTATAGTATAGTAAACGACAACAAAAAAGTGTCATAGTATACCTTAAAGAAAATGACAGAAAATAGTCTGAAGAAAAGAAGTCTGAGTCTAAAATAGTCATAGTAAGTATGTCAAAATAAAAAACAGAAAACGAAATGATCAGACGGAGAGGGGATGAGTGTGGATAGTGTGGACACACACACACTCTGTTCTTAGGATAGATATGTGTTAATGCACATGTTGGACTAAGTTGAGGCTCACAGTGTTGGAAACTGAGCTTAGAAGGTATTACTGCAAACTGCTGAGTCACAGACAAGCACACACACACACACACACACACACACACACACACACACAGCCCTTTAATTAAGGCCTGAAGCCACCTCCACACACACAGCATTCTTTAAATCAGGTTCAGACTGAGCTTATCATCTGTGTCCTTCTCACAAAAAAGAATAGTTGTTATACAAGGAAAATGAGGAGAATAGGATCACTGCAAGCAGAGCCAGATTAACTTTCTGAGTCATTTCCTTTACTTCTTTGGATGTTTGTAATTCAAGGGACATCATGACAACCATGAACCTGGTAAACTATCAATTTCTTTGCACACAGACCGTTTAATATCTGATATAAGATCAAAACGTATGCCACAGGATTCGGTGGTCAGGTTAAAGCTTTTGGGAGGATCTCAACCCCAATGTTGGGAATGAGTTGCAGTTTGTACAGTGACATGGCTGAAATCCACATCTCAAAAACAGGAGGACAGATACGTATACTACTGGACAACCATATTAATTCATATACTACATGGGTGCCCGGAAGTGATCCCTTATTTTTTTTGTTTTTATTGAGATTGAATTCTTGTGTTGGCTTGTAAAGATAAATGTCAGTTTTTGCCGTTAACATTACAAATGTCATAAGAAAATGTTCTGCTTATATATTTTAAAAAGGGCATGTTGGCATAAATTTAGATTGACAAAGCTCTTACAGTGCAGTTCAGATACAGCATGGGATTTCTCTGTTGGGCAAGAGACTTCAGTGCCAGAACCAGGAAACTTACGAAAAGGATCTTATTTCATCTCTTATCATCAAAGCTTTAGTGTGAGCTAATTATTGATAGATAATTGTATTTATCAACAACATGCATCCTATCCCTTTTCAACATAAACTTATAGCTTCAAGTCTGACTTCTCAATTTTTCAATTTAACAAAGCAGCTGCCAGAAACCCAAAATACAAGAAAACTGAATCTGGCGCCTAAAATATTTTACAAATCTCAAGTTCACAATTAGTCAAATTAGTTATTTGGGTTGGAAAAAATATGGATATACATAAATGCAGCAGGGACAGGTAAGAAATAAAACTAATAATAATTTATACTTTGAAAATGTCTTTCAAAAATATGATTTACAACTGGTTTGCTTAGCTTGTCTGTACATGATACATAAATAACTCTAGGGTTTTAATATGACCTCTGTTGGTTAATGATGGGTTCTAGTTCATTTCTATGTGGGCCAAGCTCACCCTGCCCACAAATGGAAGTCCCCTGTACATCAACTCTAGAACCAAGATAAATGAGAAGACTGGAGTTCTTGTGGTTCATTAATTAAAGGTAAGGTTGCTGAGTCCTTGTTGAGGACAGACAATAAGCCTTCCTCCTCCCTCAATCAGGCTTTATAAATGAGAGCAAGACTCCAGTTACTGCCGATGTGAGCCCCAACAAGCTCCTGCGTTTTCACTGCGTCTTTCTTCAGTGGATTTTCTTATTTAAAGCGAGAGGGCCAGGGTCCAGAGAGGATGCAGCAGACAAGATTGATGATGCCGTCACTCGTCCATACGGGACAAACTACTTCTTAAAATAACGTACAATTTGACAACTCCAGAAGAGTTTCGACAGGACAGCTTCGATTTAAGATATATATATATATATATATATATATATATATATATATATATATATATATATTGGACTTTTGAGATCCGCTACCCCCCGGACTGCGCGTCTCCACCGCGCCGCCATGTGTGCGCTGCTGCCGGCGTGGATGTGCCTGCTGCTCGGTCTCCTGCCTCTGGAGGTCCAGTCCCGGGCTTTGACGCTGCAGAGCCTCACTCACAGACAGAGGTACCGCTGCCCCACTCAGCATTTACACGCTGAAGCGTCAATGGTGTTCTAGTTGAAGGTGGAAGTTGCTCGCTTTGGCAAAGTGTGATTCAAGAAGTAATTTATACATGAAGTGCGAGGTCAGTATCAGTGTAACATAAATTAAATTGAAATGCTTTTATATGTATTCAGTATTATTGCATGTAAGGAAAGGGGGAAATTATAAGAGGAAAAAAAATCCCAATATGTTGTCTTTGTCCAGGTACTAGTATTTGGTAATGAGTCTAAATAGAAAATCAAGCTAAATAAATTTAATTTAGCCTGTAGAGGCCTATCATTGAGCCCAAAATCACATATGTGTCTGCTTTTGCAACCTGGACCACATTCTCCTTCTGAGTAAAACCTCCACCCCTTCATAAAGCCCTTATTTCACAACATATTTTTGTTTGGATTTAGTGCTTAGGGCTGAAACAATTTGTTAATTAATCACAAACAATGCGAACAGAATTAAGTTGTCAAGCAAACAACACAAAATCTTTTCAAAGTAATGATTTCTGTTTTATGTTATTGTACATTGAATAGCTTCGGGACACCTTGGGCTATGGGAACATGCAATAAGCATTTGTCACTATTTTTTGATTGAATTATCAATTGATTAATCAAGAAAAAAATGGACAGGTTCATCAATTATGAAAATACTCATTAGTTCTGGTGAAGGGCAGCAATTGGAGAACATTAAACGTCTGTGTCTTGCCTTCTGGCAGTCATTAATGTGAGAAAAAGGTCCAACAGCAGAATGAGGCAATTCCTCTTAGAAGCAGGAGGTGAGACAGAGGTGAAGGTGATTTAGTGGGATTTGGGACAAGGATACAAGTACATACCGAGAGGCCAAGCAGCAACCAACTGAGCCACACTCTGAGTAAGGTAGACTACAACTATGCTCCACACACAGCGGTTGTAGGTTGTGATAGAAGTGGATGTCAGCTAACAATAGCTGTCACATGCAGAATCATGCATCATCAGTTTATTTTCCAGTGGCCTTATAGTTTTTATAACATTTTACTCCCACATCATTTGCATGCCCATTAATATCAGGTTATGTTGGGTATTTGAATAGTGGAAAGAAAAGAGCGTCTTTAATATATTGGTAAAGTTTTGGAACAACAGCAATTCATGTATCATTAATCTCTGACATGGTTATATATTATTATTTATTTCTCAAGTTGACTATCTGATGGTACGATGGTAATTTGCATTTACTGTTCCGTAACAAAAAAAGCTCCATGAAGGTTTTATAGGTTGGAGCTTAGTAGGTGTCAACACAAAGTCCCTGGATAAAGAGAAAGAGGGGAGAGGATCTCAGTGTGATTCAACACTGATGGATGTAACATAGTACTGCTGCTGGCACTTCACAAAATGCCTTGAGAGAAACAAAAAAAGGACAGAGAAAGAACAATGAAAGGATCCTGTTTTAATTTAGAAAAGACAGAGAGAAAAAAGAGGAGGAGAAAATAATGAGTACACCCAGTAGCAATAACTATGAGTGGGACAAAACGTTTTCTGAGCGAAAAGTATTTTTGAGGAGTTGCAACAGGAAAGTGTGTGTGTGTGGGTGTGTGTGTGTGGGTGTGTGGGTGTGTGTGTGTGTTCAGTTCCTCTCTGAAGAACCCCATGCTGTGCCCTAACTTAGGAGGAATGTTGGAGAAGCTCCTTTTGCCTTCAGACTCTCCACTGGTTCACAACCTAGACAACCATACAACACATACACACACACACACACACACACACACACACACACACACACACACACACACACACACACAAGTGTCTCACAAGTGTGAGAACGAGGTCCTAATAGAGAGTGCAGATAGAAAAGTACAGAAGCAAATCTGTGTGTTCACCTCAACTCATGGGGTACTGTTATCTTGCAGTGTTGTGACAAATGTCCAAAGTCAAACCTAAAAAAAGTCTTTAGCCATGCTAGCTATGTCTCTATTAATCTTGACCTGTCTGTCTGTCAGTCCATCCCTTTGGTTCATACTGAAACATCTTAATTGAATGAACGTGCACAAAGTTTGCACAGACAAGAATCCTAATTTGGTGATCCCCTGACTTCTTATCTAACGCCACAGTGAGGTATTCCAACAACGGCTGCGTGATTGTTGTGATATCTGCTACAGATATTCAAGGTTCAAGGCTACCTAAAGGATGAATATGAATAACTTTGGTGAACTTTTGTCATTGAGCGCCATCATCAGGTCAAAAGTTGAATTTGTCCAATACTTTTGTTTATAAGCAAGTGCCTGCAAAACTAAATATTATAAACGGTAAACTAATAATATTCTCATCAGCACTTTGTGGTTATTAGCAAATGTTAGCATGCAAACTAAGACGGTGAACATAGTAAGTATTACACCTGCTAAACATCAGCATGTTAGCCTCGTCATTGTGAGCATGTTAATATTTAGCTCAAAGCACCGCTGTGACAACGTCTGCAGCCACGTGACTCTGTAGTCACGTGGCTGCAGACTTTCTCCTGTAACATAAACGCCTTTGACACAGACACACACCTTTGTTACTTCATTGCTGTATGTTGGTGCATATATCTTTGACTGTGTTGTGTTACAGTGGCAAGCAGTTCAGTGGTCTACATGTCCTTGTACTGGGAGGCAATGTGGCGTCAAGTGCCTTTCCCACCAGAGACAACTCCATCTAAAAACCTCACCTAAAGGTGGCATTTAAACCACGAATGTGTTTTTGTGTGTAGCAGAGAGAATGATGGTGAAAACGTGCACCTGAGCATGCACATGCAGAACATATATTGCAGGCTTGTTTGTATATATGTGAGCATGTTGTTATCTTGGTTAACCTTGGCAGTCACATGTCACTTAAATGTTTGTGCCCACTAATGCCCCCACCAACCACCAACATTATGCCTGTGTGCATGTGTGTGTTGGCAGTGACAGCTCAGAATAGTGATTATAATACCAGTTAGGATTACAGGATAAAGACTGTATGTTATTATGGCCCACTTTTTCACAGAAAACAAACACAAACATTATCTCGCTGCATCCGTCCTTCTCCCTTTATTCTTTGTTTCTCACCTCATGAATAGCCAACACTTGTGATCGGGGAAGCGTGTGTGCGCACACACACACATATACACACAATGTGTTTCCATTCAAATGCCACTCAAACTAACGAATACATTATTTAACATGACAAAAAAACTAAATATCAAGTAAAAGCAATTAAGGTAAGTTGTTGCTTACATAAGAGATGGTTACATATGCCCTTAGGTATGCCCCAAATTCAAGTGTCTTGATTCAGCCACTTATTTATGTCAGCAGTGAAAAGGGAATGAGTGAACAGATTAACCTACTGTGTTATTGTTCTGAGTTTGTTTAACAGTGCTGCAGTTCGTAACAGTTGTAAAGCACCAAGTGCTCTTTGTCCCCTGCTACTTTACATTATCTATACTGAGTATTACATAATTTCATGGCCAAACAGAACGGCTCTCTCTAGTGGCTCAACTCTTGAATGTCTGAGAAAGAGTGAGGGATGAATGAAAAACAAAAAAAGGTATTGTAACGATGTGGAAAAAAAAGTAAGCTTAGAGAGCAGGGAGGTGAGAAAAACAGTATTTCACACACACACACACACACACACACACACACACACACACACACACACTCACACACACAAGAGTAGTGGTGTAGATTTGTCAGCTGAGATACTGTTGTTGATTAACTGGAAACATATATTTTTAGCAGGCATTTTAGACTGTTGGTCTAAAATTTCAATGATTAATGTCTAAGAGACATGTAAAAGAAAAAGTGTGTCACTCTTTAACTGTACTTGCCGGTGAAGATGAGTAAGTAGTACTTGGGTGTCTCATTTGTTTAACCGAACACTTGGCCGTCGTAGGACATAGGACACTGAGTTCAATACAGACTTATAGAGATACATGCATTCATGAGACTTAAACCCATGCAGAGTCCCTCTCAGTGTGACTGTAACCGTGTTTACATTCACATATTTTGTGCACATTTTGAAGTATTGTATGAGAAAAGCCTTATTGAAACAGCAAAATTCAATAAAACCTCCTCAATTGCGAAGACATTTTTATGCTCGCTTGAGGTTAAAAAAGATGATGCACTAAATGGCTTATGAAAACACTTTTGCCGAATATATAGATATGGTTAGCTGGCCAAGAGGACTTATTTTGTTTCCAGGTCGCAACCTCTGCTTCTACTACTCTGTTTACTAACTGATTACAGTCATACATAGCCTCAGCATCAACTGCTGACGAAACTACGCTGTAACCTATAGGGATAAGGATAAGGATGTTTATTGTCATTGTAAAAACATACAACGAAATTAAGTTGGCGACTCAGTCAGTACAGCAGCAACAGGTAGAAAATGTATAAAAACATTAAGACAAGACATGTCTGATTTAAAACAAGACATTGAATAAATATATACAAGATAAAAGACAGGCATCAATGGCTCTAAAGTAAAAAAGGTGCTTTGTTAAAGTGTTTCACCGGAGCATTCGATCAGAAATTGTTGAAGTGTTTTGAATATACAAGATTGGCTTTCTGTAGATATGTATCCCAATATTCACAAATAAAAGATCAAACAAAGGCAATAAGACCATCAGTGAAATCAGATATAGTGCGGCTGGATAAGCGAACTATAGAAGTTCACCACCCTCTGTTTATCTCTCCTACTATATTTCCTTCTCACTTTCTATTTCAATCTACTCTTTCTCTGTATTGTTCCTTGAAAAAAAAGAGAGATCAAAGGTCGAGTACATTGGACATTCCTGCAGAACAAGCCTGACTTCCTGTGAGGCATTTCATCTCGTTTTAGCGATTCAGTTTCACTGCAGCCGACAAACGCATGACTGCCCAGCATCATACGTATGTGATCGGGCTGAGTGTGTGTGTGTGTGTGTGTGTGTGTGTGTGTGTGTGTGTGTGTGTG